GCTCTTTGATTTTGTTTGAATCTATAAATTTTCTCAGTTACCTGACCTAGATTTAAGAGTGAAGAGGTGTTAAAAATAAGTTCCCTACAAGCTAAGTGAAATAAACACAGAAAATGAAGAGTAGATAAAGAGGTGTTAAAAATAAGTATGTCCTAACAATGTGATACCTTGGCCTAAAGAACATGGGCCATGCTCCTGGTATCATCTAAAAAGGCTGAGCTCACCAGCTGTGCAGGCAGTCCAGGCAGGAGCCAGCAGTCAAGGAAAAGCAGATCCTGAAATGGAACAGCTCTTCACCTCTCAGGATGTAGGAGGAGAGAGAAAGAGACACAGAGAGAGTAAAAGAGAGAGAGAGAGAGAGAGAGAGAGAGAGAGAGAGAGAGAGAGAGAGAGAGAGAGATTTCTCTTCTCTCACCCCCAGCCCCCAGTGATGGTACTTGCCAGCATTGTTGTTTCTTCAATTTGGAGAGGTACATTTGAGATGCATCCAGACGAGAGAAGAGACATACGTATTCCCAGCATGCATACATACATACATACATACTCATCCATATATGTGTATGCATGTGAATGTATGTGTGCACATATCCATGTATGTTGTATGTGTGTGTACACACATATGTATCTATGTACATACACAAAAGCAGTAGCCAAGTAGCTTCAAAGAATGTGACTCCTAGCAGCAGAGAAGAGCCAACTGTGGTTTCAAGAATTGCCCTGGAAAATGGGTGCTGACATTAGGAAGAAAAAAGATTCAGGGAGCCAAGCTGCATGACAACATATAGCAGAAAAGAGAAGAGGGGTGCAGCAGGAGGATTCCATCAGTATCATTGCCAGAGCAACATGTGCTCCGTCTTCTGTGCCTCCCTACCAGAAATTCCAAGCCTGCTCCTTCTCTCCCCACTGATACTTTATGTATTCCTGGGAGACTGAAACTCAGGTTTCTGAGGGGAACATTTTATAGTTCTTTCTATGCCACCTTAGTAAATGCTGTTGCTTTCAGCTAATTGTGGCTACTGGATTGCCATTTAAAATAAATTAATTGGGAGGGGCTTATGAGCTATAGTGACAGTAGTGCATATGCACAGGATAACCCAACCCAATGGGAAAATAATATTTCTAACATCAACCTAAGAGTTAGTGTGAAGATTGAATAAAAAAAGGTGTGCAAAGTGATTTATTACTTTTATTATAGTGCCATATAAATGTAAGCAATTGTTATTAACATGAAAGAATATTGAAATGATATGATTTGTACTTCTTCCTAAACATTCTTGTCACTAAACAACAAAATCTGACAATTTATAAATATTTATAGTCAGCTATTTCTTATGTTTTTATTGCTGTATGACTTCTTAAAAATAAGTAAAGTACAGTGGTACTTCAAATAAAAGTAATGAAAATTAAAGCAGTAAACAAGTTGTTAGGATGACTATTATGCAAAGACACTTATTTACCTGTTGTAATTTGATTTTCATTAACTGGAAAGGAACTGGACGTTACTTCCCTCTCCCCCTCTGGGCAACAGGACATTGCAAAATGCATATAGTACCATGACTATAAGGGAATTTTTAATGAGGGAAACTGAATTAATATTGGTATTCATCTTTAATTGGCAGTGATAGAATTCAACAAAACTGTGACCATTCCAGGTTTGTCTTTTTCTAAATACTACATATTTGTGGAATTTTTGTTGTGACAATAAGATAACAAAGAAAAAAATTCCAGTACTTTTATAACTTTCCTCAAACTTTTAGGGAAGTGTAATAACCTGTTACAGAGTGTCAGTTAATACCAACAGAATATTTCCAAACTCTGTAAATAGAATTGAGTCAGTAAAGATAACCAGAAGCTTGGATAATACCTGGATAAATAAAATCTATAAAATATTTTATTTTAGCCAGCAGTCTAAACTTCATTTCCAATATTTACCAAAATCTATGAAATTTTAAAAAAATAAATGTTAAAAAAATCTATGAAATAGCAAAATTGATTAATTTGGACATCCACTAGATAACCCTTTTTAGTAACAAAGGTAAGGACAAGCTGAAAGGGCAGACAAACAGGTTGACAGGGGGAAAAAGAAGTGACTAAGAATAAAATATGAGAACAAAATGGAGCAACATTAATAGAAAGCAAATTAAATGCAATGCCAAAGTTTGAATTTCCCAAAGTGGTTAATGATTTTATCCAACACATATGTAATTATCATCAGTCTTTTATTGATCTGTACTTCAGTCACTCATCTGAAATGAATACTTTTCTTCAATAGTGATGCCTCTTTATATAGATAAGAGAATGAAATAACATTTAATCAATTTTCCAACTAAGACTAATAAGTACAGTAGAAAACTCAAAATCTGGACTTGGAGTCAGGACATCTGAGTTCAATTCCTGCCTCAGTCTCTTATTATCTGTGCCTCAGGAAATCACTTAACCTCCCAGATCCTGTTTCATCACCTGTAAATTTAAAATAATAATAATTGCACTACCTACCTGAGGGGGTTCTTATAAGTACTATGTAGATGTTGGTTAGAGCAGCTAGGTGGCACAGTAGAGTGCCAAGCCTGTAGTTCAGAAGACACCTTCCTCAGTTGAAATCTAGTCTCAAGATACTTCCTGTGTGACCCTGGGCAAGTGACTTAACCCTGTTTGCCTCAGTTTCCTCATCTGTAAAATGAGCTGGAGAAGGAAATGGCAAACCACTCCAGTATCTTTGCCAAGAAAACCTCAAATAGGGTCACAAAGAATCAGACACGACTGAATAACAATAACAATAGACATTGGTTGTTGTTATTGTCCTTTTTGTTGTCAAAATTAACCTCAAAGAGAAGCAATGTAATGTGACAGTCACCACCTTATATCTGTGTTATTGGAAGGAATTTCCACAATGTGAGTTCCCTATATTGATGAAATCAAAGGTCCAAAGCAAAACCTTATATGAATTAGCTAGTATAATGGTCTAACAGAACACATTTAAATGGAGGGGAGTTGGGGTAGAGGAAGGAAGGCAAAGAAGAAACAAGAAGTGGAAATGGTACTTCCCAACATCTACCACAAATGAGAACAGGTAGGAACTGAGGGAAAATAATTTCTAGGCACAGGTGCCACAAAGAATATAATGGCAGGTTGCTAAGAAATTTAAGATAAATTCAGTTTGAATATGTTTTATGATTACCACCAATTTGTGTGGAAGATGGGAAACAATTATTTTATATAAAATTTCTCACTTTATCAGTCCAGGAAGAAGTTAGAAAAGGTTTCTATGTCATTGTTAGTTCAAAGATAGGCTTAAAGGCAAAGATTATCATTTTTCTTTTCTCAGTTCCTTCACTGTCTTTCTGCATCCATTTATACTTTAAAAATCAGAGACTGATAATCTGGTTCTAGTGCCATTGAAATTTGTTAAAACAGTGTCACTATAATTCCACATCATATGCAATTTTCTCTTTTTCTCTTTGTCCTCTGTCAAATTACAGAGGAATCTTTATGTGCTTGTTTCCCTTTCTCCTCTTCCTACCGATGCTTCTGGTCTGCCTGCCACAACTGGAATATTGCTTAGGTCTGCAGTAGGTTCTGACAGCTAAAGTGATTGCTGACCTCAAGTCTAAGATGAAAAAAAATGGAACTGATGTCTAATCTGATATTACTATGGTAGGTTTTAAAAGAATTACAATCTGGGCAGCTAGATGGCACAGTGGATAGACCACCGACCTTGGAGTCAGGAGGACCTGAGTTCAAATGCAGTCTCAGACACGTGATACTCTAGCTGAGTGACCTTGGGCAAGTCACTTAACCCAGATTGCCTCACACCAAAAAAAAAAAATTACATTCTGCTTTTGGTTATCTGTAGTAATGGATATATTAAAAACTCCCATTAAAATAACAATATTTGCATATTTACAAAGCGCTTTACAAGTATTACCTCTTTTTGTCCTCACAGCAATTGTGGGAGTAGATACTATTATTACTCCCATTTTACAGATGAGAAATCTGTGTCAGATAGAGCTCTTAAGTGACGTGTCCAGGATCACACAGCTATTAAGTGTCTGAGGCTGGATTGGAACTCGGGATTTCCTAAATTCATGTCCATTATTTAGCTTTAATCCATCTTTCTCTAGAAAGCCTACAACTGCAAAATTGACCCAACTCTATTTTCTCTCCAGCCCTGCCTGTTTCTGGTAACCAAAAGACCTGAATGAAACTTTGGATCAAGTCAGAGAAATGGATAAGCGAACAAACCAGGTGAAAATTTTCTGTGGCAGTAAAAGAAGTCGATGTACAAATCCTGAATGCCTGTAAACTCTCTGAAATCAACTTCATTCAGAAAAGGCACTTTTTCACTTACATTAATTGAATACATTAAAATCCAGATAATGCCAAAATATTCACATGGCTTTTATGATCGCTCGAGCTTTTCTAAGTAATTCACCTTCACCAAGGCCGGGTGTAAATAGCCATCCAATCTGCCAGCCCCTATGATGCCCGTTCGCGTAAAAAGCAGCTTCGTCTCTCCCGCCCTACCTCCTCCCCGACTTCAGAGGCTGGGAGCTGAGCAAGTAAAGCGATAAACAGATTACATCTCCAGGTGAGGAGCCCTAAGGACTTCAAAGGCTTTTGCAGCCCGTGTAGCACGCTCCAGCTCCACTTTGCAATTGCGGAGAAGCCACAAACGGGGAGCCAATCTAAGTTCAAGTTTGCTGCTGCCACCCACACGGGCACAGCCGAACTGCGCTCAAACCCTCCAGGGCCACCCAATCCTGCAAAGTGCAGAGGAGTCATCAGGACTGGGAGAAAAGGCCTTAGGAGAGATCTCATCCCTGGCGAGGTAGGCTCGCACTGCGGGCCTTTCCCTTTCCGGAAAGGGAGCTAGGGAGCTGAGGACCCTTGAGTCTTGGGCTTCTCTTGTCTTGCCCTCATCCACTTACTTTCTTCTTCTTCCTCCTCTCCCTCCCGCAAGAAGAATATGGGGTTCCCTTGTGCCAAGACACCACACTCACCTCCTGAAATCCAGGACCCGCCAGGGGTGGAAGAGGTAGAAATCAGCAGGGAAACAAGCCTTCCAGTAGCAGCCTCGGCCAGGCCCAGGGTTTACAGGAACCAAAAGCCAAACCAGCAGAGGAGGAGCTGTGACCGCGCTCCGCCCTTGTTTAGTCTCTGAAAACCCCCCCGCCCCCGCCCCCCAATCTCTGCCCCGGCTCCTATCCAGCCCCTAAAACTCTACTCTTCCAGGCTCAAGGCCAGCGGTTTGATAGCTACAACCGCTGGAACGTCTATCTAGAAGCTCCTAACGTGCGCGGTCCTGGACTCGTGGGCCCCTGCACTGCGGTCTACCAAGCCATCGAAGCTGTCACGGGTCAGGCTTGGATCCTCCATACTCCCTCAGCTTCCTCGCGGGTTACAGATTCCATTCTGTCACTTTCATGTGCATTCCGATGTGACCTGGACTATAGAGAACTCAGATCTACTAATACATTTCTCCTAGGACTCCACCTGAATACAAGCACTTTTAAAATGTAGATTTGGTCTTTGTGCTTTTTTACGTGAGACCACAGACGACGGTAACTAAGTTGCAAATTTCAAGACTTCCAGGGGGCGGAGTACCGAAGCCTTAGAGCTGTCTGCCCCAGCAATATTAGAAGATGAGAAAAGAATAATCATTAGGAGGATGAAGGGATCTTGTGGTTTTAGACTTTACCTCACAATGTGTTATTTGATTAGATTCAATTCAACAAGCATAATTTAATGCCTACCAAATGTCTACTGTGAGAGGTGGTCCTGTTTTTTTTTACATGTAAGTATTAATTTCCACCAAACTGCAATGTAAACACCAGAGTGGTAAGCAGATACTTTTTATTTTTGTTAATGGCCTACCAGAGTAGGGGATACTCAGTGAGCAATAAACATTTGGTGAATGAACGGATGAATGAAAAGAAACTGGAAAAGTGAACTTAGCTATTATGTCCAAACTACATTCCTACGGTTGAATTCAACAGGTCCTTAGCTGAAGAAAAGCAATTCAGAATAGATTTTATTTACATCTAGGTGGTCCAATGGATAAGAGAGCTCTGGTCCTGGAGTCAGGACAGACCTTAGTAATCCATCTTCAGACTCTTACTAGCTGTGTGACCCAGGGCAAGTCACTTTATTTTTTAAAAAATAATTAATGTATTTATTTTTAGTTTTCAATATTCACTTCAATAAAATTTTGAGTTTTAAATTTTCTCCCTCTCCTTTTCCTCCCCCCCCAAGATGGCGTGCAATCTGATATAGGCTCTACATATACATTCATATTAAGCATATTTTCACATTAGTCATGATGTAAAGAAGAATTAGAACTAATGGGAGGAACTACAAGAAAGAAGAAACAGAACAAAACAAAAAAAAAGGACAGCAAATAGTATGCTTCCATTTGCATTCAGACTCCATAGTTCCTCCTCTGGATGGGGATAGCATTTTCCATCATGAGTCTTTTGGAGTTGTCTTAGATCCTTGCGTTGCTGAGGACAGATAAGTCTATCAAATAACGTGGCTGTTACTGTGTACAACATTCTCCTGGTTCTGCTCGCTTCACTCAGTATCAGTCCATACAAGTCTTTCCAGGTTTTTCTGAAGTATGCTTGCTCATCACTTCTTAGAGTACAGTATTCCATTACATTCACATACCACAACTTGTTCAGGCATTCCCCAATTGATGGGCATCTTCTCATTTTCCAATTCTTTGCTACCACAAAAAGAGCTGCTATAAATATTTTTGTACATGTAGGTCTTTTTCCCATTAGTATGATCTCTTTGGGATTTAGAAGGATCTAGACCTAGAAGTGGTATTGCTGGGTCAAAGGATATACACAAATTTTATATTCTTTTGAGCAGAGTTCCAAATTGCTCTCCAGAATGGTTGGATCAGTTCACAACTCCACCAACAATGCATTAGTATTCTAGTTTTCCCACATCTTCTCCAACATTTAGCATTTTCCTGTTTTGTCATGTTAGCCAATTTGATAGGTATGATGTGGTACCTCAGAGTCATTTTGATTTGCATTTCTTTAATCAATTGTGATTTAGAGCATTTTTTCATATGACTATAGAGAGCTTTAATTTCTTCCTCTGAAAATTGCCTGTTCATATCCTTTGACCATGTATTAATTGGGGAATGACTTGTATTCTTATGAATTCGATTCAGTTCTCTATAGATTTTAGAAATGAGGCCTTAATTAGAGATATTGGCTGCAAAAATTGTTTCCCAGCTTTCTGTTTCCTTTCTAATCTTGGTTGCAGTGGCTTTGTTTGTGCAAAAACTTTTCAATTTAAAGTAATAAAGTCATCCATTTTGCATTTTGTAATGTTCTGTAACTCTTTTTTGGTCATAAGTTCTTCCTTTCTCCATAGATCTGATAGGTAAACTATTTCTTTGCTCTCCTAGTTTGCTTATAGTATCAATCTTTATATCTGAACCGTGTACCCATTTTGACTTCATCTTAGCATAGGTTGTAAGGTGTTGGCCTATGCCTAGTTTCTGCCATACTATTTTCCAGTTTTCCCAGAAGCTCTGTTAAATGGTGAGTTCTCATCCAAGAAGCTGGCGTCTTTGGATTTATCAAATAGTAGATTACTATAGTCAGTGACTGCTGTGTATTGCATACCCAACCTGATCCAAGGGCAAGTCACTTTAAAAAAAAAAACCTTTCAGTTTGCCTCAGTTTCATTATCTATAAAATGGAAATAATAATAGCTCCTACCTCCCAAGACTGATTGACGGAGAAATTGAGATCACATTTGTATAGTTCTTTGCAAACTTAAAGTATTATATAAATGCTAGATATTATTTAATGCACACCATAGACAGAGATAGAACAGAAAACTACCATTGAAACCTGGGGAAAGTGGTGACAAGGAATTGGGAAAATAAACCAATAAGTGAGAAAAGCTTGGATTTCCTCTGGATCACAAGAATTCCTCCCCCCCACCACCCTTGCCCCCCATGCAGTTATTTAGAGTACAAAGGTTACCCTGTCTTTGTGCTCCAGAAGGTAGCAGGCAACCCCACTCTTCCACTCTACCTCAGACACGTTACAAGGGATCACACCTTATTTTACTTTTGTTACTATTCACATTGGGGTAGCTTTGAGTGTTTCAGAAGATATCCTTCTTTCATCGATAACTCATTAACACATCATCTCCTCTAAGAACAATGGTTGCTCTACATAAGCCACAGTGTAATCCCAAATCACGATTTACATGCAAGAAGTGCCAGAAAAGACATCAAAGACATGTATGACTAGAAAAAGCTTCAGGAGAAGTAGCTCTAGGATATAGTGAATAGAGAGCTGGCCTCAAGTCACAAAGACCTGGGTTCAAGGCCTGCTTCTAACAAAGGAAGGTAAATTTTGAGGGTGAAGCCTACTTTGATATCATGGAGTTTATTGGCTAGATTTCTTTTTTAAATACCATGACTGAAATCCAATTCACTCTAGCTCTCCTGGGTTGGCCAACAATAGGTCCCTGCCTTAGCACCACTTAATGGTTATTTTTTGAGCCCAGATGACTCAGAGTGAATGTAAATAGTAATTGTTTCTCTTTTGGCCAGAAACAACCCGGAGGGTCTCCCCTTCCCAGTTTTTTTTTTTAATTAAACGGGCCATCCATTGGCCCACTTCTTACACAGCCCTAATCACTGAATGGATGTTGCCTCAAAGTGAGAACTTGGAAAGACCTTAGCTTAAAAAGGCCAAGGTCTCCTACTGCATGCTGGGTCAACTCCAGTTGTCCTGATCTATATCTGGCCATTGGATCCAGATGGCTAGTGAGAAAAAAGTGAGGCTAGGGACTTTGCACAGCCCTCCCTCACTATAATCCAATTCACTTGCAAGTCATAGCATCAACTTCCTAATGTCATGATCCTCATCAAAAACAAAGGACAAACTATACACACAACCTCTAATACATACAAACTGGGAGATTCTCAGCAAGTCCCTTAACCTCTCAGTGCCCTTAGGTAACTTTATAAAACCAAAAGTTACAAAACTGGTGCTGATCTGTATATTTTACATAAAGTTCCCAATACCAATAAAATCATGAGTTTCAAGATATATGCATGTATATATTTGATTATATATATGGTTTTATATATATGTACACATGTATATTTAAAGATTTCAGACAAGGATGGTTATGTAGCCAGAGTAAAAAAAACTGATGGACAGTCAGAGTGCTGCATTTGTACCCACAAAACATTAAAATACTTTGAGTAATACTTCCAAAGAACTACTTAGATCAACCATGGAGGATTTACACAAGGACATAGACAAGAATTACACAGGATAAGAAGGCACTGATGAATTGTACCATGCCCCAGTATTGAGTGTATTCACATTGATTGATCATAAATCCATTGAAGTACTTAAACATTTTTAAAGCACTAAACTAGTGACTAAAGATATAGAGATAAAAAAAATATGACACAGTTCCTACCCTTAAGCAACTTAAAGCTAATGGGGGAGGGGATAATGAAATAGGAACATCAATAACTGGTAACAAATTTAATTATAAAAGATCAAATGGATTAGGATGAGAAAACAGTCTCGGGACAAGAAAGGACAGAATAAAAAAAAAGCTAATTGGCAATTGGTACTACAGATAAGTAAGGATTAGTAAGAGAGTACAGAGCTACCCTAGAAGAATTCAGGTTAACTGGACCTTATAAATGCACCCTGGCTCTCTCACTGATGGGCCAATAATAGGTCCCAGGCTAAGCCCTATTTGGTCATTCTTTGGGCGCTGATTGGCTTAGAATGAATGTAAATAGCAATTGTTTCAGAAACCCTGAGAGTCTTTCCCTCCCAGATCTATATATTTTTTTAAATTTTAGTTTTGCTTTTATTTTATTTTTATATTCAGTTTCAAATTCTAGCCCTCCTTTCACCCCTCCCCCACCCACTGAGAACTACAATACCTATTTTACATACAAAGTCATGCAAAACATATTTCTGCATTAGCTATGTTCCACCCCTACCTGCTACCCCCCAAAATTAACAAGAAAAATAAAGGAAGGGAAAAAAATATGCTTCAGTCTGCACTCTGAGTCATTAGTTCTCAATCTGGAGGTGGACAGCATTTTTTATCATGAGTCCTTTGGAGTTGT